AGAGAGAGAGAGAGAGAGAGAGAGAGAGAAAGAGAGAGAGAGGGAAAGAGAGACGAACGACGATACGCGGTAGAGAAACGAGAGAAGCTCTCTCTAGAGAGTCGAAAGAAAAAAGTATGGTACGTCAGAGGGGAACAACGAGCGGACGCTTTCTTGACGGTGTAAACGCGCCGGAATATGCAGGAAGGAGATATTTTTAGGCGAGCGCTGGTTGAGAGTTGCTGCAAGCTCGACTGCCGACCGACTCCGCGCGCCGGGATGTTTCTCGTGTTACGAGAGGGAAAGAAAGGGTACACCCGTGAAATAATAAAATCTCGCTATCCAGGTGCGGTTATTCTCTAATCTGCTCTCGGACTGGTACCACTAGCGGTCCGTGGACCGATTGCTACACGCACCGAGAACCTCCCTCTCTCTCTCTCTTACACGGGACACACACACACTGTATGTGTATATATATATGTATATGTATATATATATATATATATACATACATATATAAATATATATATTTGTGTCTGTATGTATGTATATGTGTATGAATATATATATGTATATATCTGACTTTCCGTGTTCCTCGGCCCGCGTGCCGCGATTATCTTGCGTTAGTGCCTCCAACTAGATCCGATTATGGCAAGTTTCTCTTAGAGCGCCAGGTGCGCCCTCCTTCAAGATTATTCTTCCCCCTTTTCCCTTCGGCTCCGCCGCGTCTTTTCTATCTCCTCGTGGCAGGTTGCACCGTGAAATCTACAGGCTCGTGTTTCCGCGGCCCGTGGTAGGTGTGTATTTATAGGCGCTTAGTATACTCGCGTACGAACGCGCACCGGCTATTCTTAGGACCGTGTTAAATAGTCCATTTTCTCTGTCCCTCTCTCGCTCTATCCAACCCTCGACTCGTCGCCGCTCTTCCTCGAGAGGGACTCTGCACTGGTGCTCTGTCCTGCTCTTGCCCTTTCGGTCTCTCTCGTCGAAAATACTTTTCGCTTGATTCCCTCTCTTTCTCTCTCTCTCTCTTTCTCTGACGCTCTATCTCGCTCTCTACACCTCGACGGCACGCGACAAAACACACGAACGCGCGTGGTATACACTGCTTCGACGGGCGCATGCACTGTTTATCGCGCACTCGGAACACTGGATCAGCGTCGACGGACGAAACGCGAGGGTTTACCGGCGACCGACACTCGCGGACCGAGACTCGGAGACTCCCGGCCTCTCAGAGGCAGTTTCGAAGAATGATAAACGAAACGTCAGATTTACATTCCCTCTCTCTCGTGACCGGGCGAAAAAGAGACGTTCTCCTACGCACGCACCAGAAGGAACTGCCGCTCCGGCGTGCTCCGAGACCGAGCCACTCTGTCATGCGCAGCTGAGCGCCGATTGGCCGGGGCGTGGCCCGGCTGACAGCTACTACGCGAGCCGCGCGATTGGCCGCTGGGCATGGCCACGACCACCATACCGCTCTACCATTGGCCGGCCGCCGCGCGACGATAAATAAGCCTTATTACACCCCCGACACACGGACCCGCTTCTTTCTCTATCTCCGGCGAGCCTACGTTCCGGAGATGCGCAACCGAATCCGACAAATCCATCTCGGGATGGACGTTAAATCCTCCGTTCCTCGTTAAATTTCTAGGATCGGCCCGACTATTTCATTCCTCGTCTGTACGAGGAATCCGCCCACGCGACGGATCCGACGGAATTTCACGAATGCGTCGCGATCCTCGCGCTCGACGAACTTCACGCGGCCACGTATCGATACGTCGGCCGCGATTCGGCGAATCGATCGCGCTCGTCGCATTTCGAGGGGCCCACGAGAGTCTCGCGCGAGCACCGGTGAAATTAAGGTTATGCGCGCCGCGTGCGTCATACTTTTATGCGTCAACGTACGCGGAATTGTTTTCACCGTTTGTCGCGTAATCGACGTCGTGTATCGGGTATTGTGCGGTAGATACGAGGACGTTGACCACGGAATATTTGATACCTCGTTTACCGATTTTTCGATTGGAGAACAAAAAAAGGAAAATAATCGCACGGAATATAAGTTATTGGGAATTAAATGTGTAACGCTGCTCGTCCGGTAAAAATGTTCACGTTATAAACGATAATAGTCGAAATATCGTTCGTGAATCGGCGTAATTGCTCACGAACGAATATCATACGATATATTACCGGACGATTTGAAAATCGATCAAAGCTGCTTGTCGTAACGTTAAACTTTATCGATCGTCTTACCCATTGCCGGTGATTTAATCTATTTTCCGATCTCGGTTTCCTTTTTCTCAGTGAATAATATCAATTTTTTCTCGTTTTCGAATAAAATGAAACCCTTCGTTTCGTATCCATACCCTCCCCGGTATAGGATTTAAGTACACCGGTGTACAGCCATGAAACATTATCCAACTTCTGTTGTTAAGTACCTTCTATCTTTCTTCTTGCGCCGGGGCGTTCATAAACATGCTAGGGCCATAAATCGATTTTTCACCGCGTCTAAGCCCGAACTCGTTCGCGGCGAGGAACTCGATGTTAATAACCGTTTCCCATTTACGCAACACGCAAATCGAAACGCGATGTTGCTACGCGTGCGGCTCGCAGCCATAAATAAATTCCAGAAACGATTACCGACTTTTCACTGCTAATCGATGTTAGCCGTTGATGTCAATCACATAACCCCGTAAATCAATTAAAAACTCTGTTAAGCACGTCCGCGCTGTGTAACGGTCGTTCGTTAACGCGTAAATCATTGCTAGTTAGGAAGCAGTGCGTGCAACCGAGAAAATATGAGATTATATAAGCCCCAAAAAATATTACCATTTTCTCTTTCTATTTCCAGCCGGTTTTTATCGCGTACCAATAAAAATGTTATTTATCTCGATAAAAGTATCCTGTTCCGGTGTTGTTTTCCGTTTTATTTCATATTTCGGGTTTATCGATACACACATCAAATATAAAAAACGGGAAACATATAAATAAATAAATATACATATACATGTGTACAGGAGATCAATGTCGTATGTATATTAAAAAGAATGACGAAACGAAAATCGTTGGTTCAATGAAGCCAATAGAATCGTTCGTTCTGTTTAGACCGGAATTAGCCCTTTTCACTCAAGAGATGACTCGGTCACCACTTGATTTAATATAACAAAACTATGAAGTTGAATATTTAGTACTTTAAACTAAACTTTGCTATATGAAATATTTAAATAGCTTTGTTGCTTGATTTATTTGTGCAGTATCGTTAGATTAGTTTCAAACAATGTTGTCTATATTTTGTCTGAAAATGTTGAATATTTCCAGTGGAAAGCTTTCGAGTGCAAAGGGTTAACACTAGAACTACCAAACACATAAACCGTCTTTATAAAATGTCTTTATAAAAGCTAGAAGCGAATTTATTAAGACCTCAATTGGCTTATATTTCAGTTTATGTATTACTTAACACGTTGAATACCGTGGGGGTCACCTGTGACCCCCAACCGGATTACTATAGTTCACTCAGTTAAACTATGATCGTTTGAAAAGATTTCTATATTATAAATAATGCTGCCTAATGCGATGACATTCGGCTAGATGAACATGCAATAATAATGCAATTCAATCAAATGATTCAACATTGTATTTTTCCAATTCGAGTATTCCGCTTTGTGAAATCGTGCGGCATTCAATGTGTTAGCTTGTTTATTCATTTTTCAAAGAGGTATTCGTAACCTTTTCAGTAATCGCAAAAGAAAAAATCAAGGAATAGGTAATTTTGGCCCATCTGGTAGTTCTAGCGTTAACATCTATTTTCTCAGTACTTTAGCAGGAAGGACGATCGTATGGCGAAGTGGACGAAGAACACCTTGTTTTCTCAGACCGCGAGGACTTTTGGAAAAACAAGTCCCGGCTCCCTAAAATAATGAGTGTCCGCCAGATTTCTCGGTGCATCCTTGCCGAGGACCTTGACGAGATCGGGACACGTCGTTTTCTTTGTACAGACCGTCCTCTTCTCGCTTGATTGACGTGGGACAATCCTCCCACGACGGTCCACGTGTCCCGTGAAAAACCCTTCTGTTCTCGTTCCTCGCCGCTTCCGCGATCCCGGGACATTTTCGGCGGTTAAAAAATAATAAGAGTAACCGCCGAGTCGACGAGGGCAGCCGGATCTTCCTGGAAACGAAATTTACGGACACATGACTTCCTTGATGGACGCCATCAGTGGCGGCTCGAGTATAGGTACTGTGGAATTGAAAATCTCCACTTGATATTATGGAGAATATTTAATATAATGAGTCACTGATTCTTTAATTATTTCTTTATACTTGTATAATATACAATCCTTAACACGTTCGCTACCAGCGTCACATATTTGTGACGGTCGTGATCCTATGAGAATGAAATTAATCCTATAGATATGGTTATTAGAAATTATCAACTACATTATATTTAGGAACTCAATGACTCGTTTCAGTTTCATTTGTCTAATATTTTGTTTAGATTTATTGAATTGAAGAAGATACAATTGAGGAGACTGTCACCGAAATAAACGTTGGCAGCGATGTTGTTAATGTCAGTAGTCATCCTCCAGTTTCTGAAAAAGATACAAATATTTTAAAACAGAGACTATACATTTTCTGGAGCAGCACTTCTACTGATTTTAGCTACGAGCCGCCACTGGACGCCATATTGAATGCATCCTTAGAGTCTACATACACTTTATATATAAATTTCGAATTATTTTTATTGATTTATACTTACCTTGATTATATGTATTTTTATATTTCTGCGGTTATCACATAAATCCCTGTCCATTAATTATTCTCCAAAAAATGTGAATACTCGCGCGAGCAATCCAAAATGTTAATGTCGTAAATTAAACGGGTAGATCTCGCGGACGAATCGAATGGTACGTTTCCAACGTGTCGATGGAACGACACTTTCATTCAAGCCCGAACGATCCTGACAAAATTGACACGTTTCCAGTGGACTGTGTGCGGTTCTCGCCGACGGGGTGCCACCCGTGGCGTCGCCATTCATCCCGGACACACGGGCGAAGCGGTTTGTGGTTCAGGAAGAAGTCGTTGACATCGTAATGTGACGTCTAGATCTCCAGGGACCTTCCTCGAGCCCCCTCCCGTCTCCCCGAGCAACCGTGAAATCAACCGTTCGATCTTCCGAATGACAACTCGGCTCAAAAGTGTCCGACTGTGTGTAGACACACGAATCATCATCTCCTTAAGAATGATATCCACGTCAACGCCGACACCATGATCCGCTTTCCAACAAAATGATCGAAGAAACACCGTGTCCGAGACGCTCTCCCTATTTCGGTGTTCTCGAAAGAAAATCAAGAACAAGAGAGAAGAATCGAAGATGATGATTCCCTTGTACATTTCCACGTGCACGGACGCGCATTTCCGATGTCCCGCGGGAGACAAGCCGGAAGAGAACCGGGCCACAAAGCATCGCCATTGACATCGATTCCCTTTGTCGAGGGGCGCGTAGACACGAGGTAAACTGGAGAAGGAGAAATATAGGAAAAAAGAGGAGGGGAAAAAAAAGGGAACAACGGGAAAGGAGAACGCGGCTGGGACGTGAAGGAAGGACGACGTTGGTTGCGCAACAATGCGAAAACGCAAGAGAGCATCCGACGAAAAGCTCCGTATCACGTTCCCATAAGTGGCAGAGCACGGGGATCCCCGCGGAGACGTCCTCACGCTTCTCCTCCTCTGCCGTACTCCCCTCGTCCCGTTCCCTGCCTTTCTTTCTCTCCCTCTAGCCCGCGCATTTCTCTCCAGCCGCTTGTTTCTTTCTCTTTCGGCAGCGTGCACCGTGTACGCGTGTGTGCAACCACGTAAAAAGGGCCGAGGAGAGGCGCCAGGTATTCATACCCCACGAAAAATTCCATGGTGACGGCACCCCGGGTATCCCGTGGCGAGACCTGAATAAACCCATAATTGCACCTCCTGCTACCCCTCCATTCACGTGCACGCCCCTGTCCTGCCTCGTTCATTGTGCAAAGACATCCCCGCCGTTCGCCGCTGCCCCCGTCGGTTCAATAAACTACGATCCAATTTGTTTAGGATTGTCTAAAGCGGTTTGCTTCTTGTTCTTAACCGATCCTGAATAATATTGATCATTTCGGTCAGATTGACGGTTCACACTAGACGACTTTAAGAGTGTAGAGGATCAAGACAGTATCGCTCGTGCAGATTGTCGGGATATGTTTAATTTTTGCCAAGTATGTTGTCGTAACTGAACCTTTGGAAAACGAAATCGACCGATTTCAATGAGACCTGAGGGAAATTGTTGTAGATATAAGAATTGCTTCATCCAACTTCGCTTAACCGTTTGAGTCCTTGCGCTCTTCTTGTGTTGTGCCAACATCGCGGAGAGCGTGGAGGCGCTTCTGGTCATCATCAATAATAATTGTCTTACTATATTCTTCAAGAAATAAATCAAAGTAAATTTATTTGAATAAATGTTATTTTCTGATATTTTTTTGTAACAACACAATATTTGTGATCTCATTAGATAAGTACTCTTATTAATTTTTTTGCATACACACCCAATCACTTCCGCATTTCTGGTAAATATCCACAAAAGTTGTTTAGCGTCCAAACGGTTAATACTTATATTCCTCAAGTCTAAAGGGCACGCAACCGAAAACCACGTGTACACAAAATAACAATTAAAAATTCCAGGAAAACGTCCCTCCGAAAATACGTACCACGCGTCGTTCCCCTTCTCAGCCATGAAGCCACGATAGGAACCAGTTGCCATACGAGCTATCGGTTGTCGCGTCCTCCGACTGTCGAAGGAAGCCCTGAAGATGGCCGGCATCCGCTAAAACGTTATCATCCAGGTTCCAATAGTCGTTCCGGTGAACATCGGACAAGGCCTTCTCGTCGTGATCGATCAGACCGAGACTCGCGGTGGAGTACGGCCGATCCGGCAGGCTGTTGGTGATCGTGAAATTGTTGTCCCGGTTGACGAACAAAGAGGAATCGACGCCGGGCAGACAATTGACAGCGGAGCACGCGGCTTGCCCGCAACTGCCCGACGACCCCAACCCGCCCTTCTGTTTGCAGGGGCTGACGACACGCTCTAAACCGGTCACACTCTTCCCCCCTTTTTTCTTGTTCTTGTCTTTGCCTGTGATGTCTTTCTTGCACCGCTCAATCTCTTTCCGCTCCCTTTCCGCCCGTTCCTTCGCGGTCTCGGCCTCCTCCGACGATGTCGCCGCTTTCCTGCCTGCGGGCCGTAGAATCGGAAATGAAGACGGGACAGCCGCGGATTTACGGGGACGCTTAGCGAGAACTATTTACGCCTAGAATGCCGACACTAACGTTTATTGGTCGTACGTAACCCTCTCCGCGGTGACGGGGACAGTAACTCCGGCAATGTAATTTTAACATTTACTCTGGCATCTAGATCGCGTATCTTTACGCGATTGTATATTCTTGGCTCCTCAACGCCCGTGACGCGGGCAGCGTCGAAGTTTATTTAGTTTCACGGAATTCTCGGATCAACGCTAGAACCGGCGAGTACTTAAACTGACCCTTTAACATTTGTTTATGGAATCTATAAGCGTGCGTTTATTGAGATTTAAATTGACTTATATTTCGGTTTACGTATCACTGAATCAGCTTCTTCAATCATTTCTGAAATACGATATCTCTTCCTTTTCCGTGAATGTAACAACCGAAACCAGGAATAGATTATTTCTGTCTATCCGGCGAGTTTAGTGTTAAATATACGTTATCTCGCGAAAATACGCGATTTTATCTCGGAGCTTCTCGCATCCTTGTTTTCACAACTTCCATTTCGCGTTTGTGCCTCTGCACTTTTCTAGCAGCGTTAAATAATTCTAGCAACAAAAACTCTAAGCTCAAGACCCACGGTATCGAATTCCGAAATTACTTTTACAAATGTCTTCCCTCTTCCTAGCGCACATGTCGGTCGCCTTGTCGCTCGAGCCGCAAGGACTCGCTTTCCTTTCCGGTTTCCCGCAGAGCGTCTCCTCCCTGGCTCTGCACTTGTTCTCCGTCCTCTGGTTCAGACATTTGGCTGGCGGTTTCTCGCACTTCTTCTTCGCGGACTCGCAAGACGGCGGCTTGTCGCACGGGGATCCCTTCTTCCCGTAGAATCTGCTCATCGACGGGTTGCGGAAGAGAGAGTGCTTGCACTTGTTGTTCGCCGCGCCGACGAAGGGGAGGCCGAGAGAGGACATCGAGAAGAATCGATTGATGTTCTTGCGCCCGCTCGGTTGCCTCGTGTACGCCAACTGCGTGTAATTCCGCCTCCCGTTGCACTTCGTCGATCTGCGATCGCGATCGCAAGAGTCCCTTCGACGATCGCACGATTCCCGACTGCGCGGTTTCGTGCAGATCTCCCGGCCGCCCTGCTCCCGGTCGCAGCGTTGTCGTCTTTCCTGCCTCTCGCAGGACCTGTCCTTTCGCTCGCAGCTGCGCTGCTCGCGTTTGCAGCTTTGCCGTTCCCGCCTCTGACTGGCCTGTCTGTCGCAGCTTCTGTCTTCCCTGAGTTTCATTACACGAAAATTGTTTTTCTTAAAAGCTACCTGCCTTTTACGCCTGATGACTGTACAGTTAGTGTAAGTTTAACCCTTTGCGAAGACTTTTTAAAGTACACAAAGCTGGTAACATATGATGCTAAATTATACATCAAATGCTTAAACAATAGAGAAAAGGAAACTATACACTGATCTCTTGCTATCCCAGTAATGATATCGTTCGTTTGCAACTTAGTATTCCAAATATGAACATTTCATCTGGCCAAAATGTCGACGTCCGTCCGCAAAGGGTTAATGATCCTTTTAACACGTCGACTGCCACGAAAAACTTCAGAGTTTTATGTATCTCTTATTCTTCTGTAGCAAAGATATAAAGGAACGATTACTTCTTTCTTGGCACTGCAATTATTAGGTTACATTATTATCTATTTATTTACGCTATCGAACATTGTGGTTCGACGTCGGTTGTTTGACAAATTGTTATTGTTTTCAAGTAATTTGGAATCTCCGGTCATCGGTGAACACCGTGGCAGTCAACGTGTTAATTTCTGACACTGAATACTTCACCTATCGCGTAACGAAAAGTTTGGAAGCAAAACGGTTTCGTTATAGATGATAATATCATATCGTTAAGAGAGTCAAACGATGAGGTTAATTCTTCATCTTTAACCCATTGCGGACGAAGATTCTTTGAAATATACGAAACTTTCAGCAGTAACCTTAAACAATAGAGAAAGCAGAAACTACGCGCCGATTTCTTGCTGTTTGAGTAATTCAATCGTTTATTTGCGATTCAGTCTTTGAAATACGAAAATTTCGTCTCGTTAAAATGTCGACAATCGTCCGCAAAGAGCTAAAAACCGAGAACTCGCATAGGTTTCGTAATTCTCTTAGAAATCAACAACTAAATCACTAAGACTACAATATTCCTAGGACCTGGTACATAAAATTCAAGAAGTTAAGCGTTCGTTACCTTTCCCTGTCGCACTTATCCCTCCTGCCGGTGGACTTCCTTGGGCTGGTGCACACCTCCCGGCTGGCGTCAGCTTCGGTCTCCTCTGGCAGACACGTAGGATCCCTCTTCGGCTTCTGACGCTTCCTCTCGTGCGCCCGGTTGCAATCCTGCTGACCCTTCTGCTTGGGACACTGGAACTTGTCCCAGTCGCAGTCGGACGACACCTGCAACGCGGGACAGCAGTAACGCTTGCACGGTTTCTGCTTCGGCCGATGCTGATCCCGCGAACACTTGTTCTCCCGCGGCTTCGTGCACACCGACTTCCCCTCGATCATGTCCCCGTCATCCTCGTCGCGCCTCTTGGGCGTTGATCTTTCCCCGCCGGTCGAAATATTCTTCGAAGATGTTTTCGCGTTCACAGCTTTAGACTTCCTCAAAACGCGAGCAGGCTTGACCAGCAAAGAGCTGTTCGACGACGATCGCCGGCCGGGGAACGGAGGATAAGAGCCCGGAGGCTTCCTCGATCCCCCGCCGTTACCCGCCATCGAGGATCCGTCGAAACCGAAGGAACCGACTTGCTGCCGCTGGGAGCCGCCATTTTGTTGTAGCCTGGCGCGCGTAGCAGCGCACGGAGACGTCTTCGCTTGGTCTAGACTCGGACTAACGATCTTCAGCGGCGGAGTCTCTCTGGACGGAATCCCCATGGACTCGTAAACGCTGCGCAGACTGGTTTTATCAATCTTCTTTTGGAAACGAACCTGGTCATCGACACTCTCGTGCTTCCATGAATGGGCCAAGTTTTTCGATTCTTCTTTGGACATCTTACTCTCGGCTAGCTTCGGAATCTGAGGACTATTCGATTGGTCTGATGATATTGATTTATTCATTGGTTGGTAATCGGATTCTCTAGGCTCCGTTGTCTTCGTTTCTGGCTGAGCCTCCGCGTAAAGCGTTTCCTCCACCGGCTTAACCGTTTCCGGTTGCGTATACGTTTCTTCTCTAACTTCAGGTCCTTCCTCCGTTCTCCAAGACGATCGTTCGATAGATGATGTTTGTCGAGCAATGTCTGGAGGCTGACTTTGTTCACGATACTCTATTGGATGATCTTTTTTGCGACTATTCAACGAAGACTTCCCAGTAGCGCCTATTTTCTCCAGCCACTGCGGATGCAACGGCGGCTTCCGGGAATCATCTGGCGGCCGCGAAGAGTACGGAGCCGACGGCTGCGACTGACACTTCATCACCGGCGCTTCCGGCTTAGAAATCGGTAAATATATAATCTTCTCGACCTTCGGGAGCGAGAGCAGCTTCTGCGCCGCTTGGATCTTTGCGCTGGAAACTACTCCTGTCTCCATTGGATTCGAGCTATTCAATTCTTCCGTTTGAAATTTTCTTTTTGCCTCATTGATCTTTGTTACTTCCACTTGTTCGGATCGGATGATCTCGTTTCTCGGAGCGAACTCGGCTCGGTCCTTGGTCTCGATCGCTTTAGCCGATAATATTATATCTTTCCCCAAGGCGTTAGCATTTTTCGCTGTTTTCGGGGAAGTTTGAACATCTCCCATCGCATTGCAGTTGCTCGAGGACAGTATGTCCACGTCGTAATCGTATTTGGCGCCTGGCACGAACGCGAAGTCGTCGGTCCGTCGACGTCGCAGCGTTTTGTACCCTTTCAGCTTCCATTTCATCGTTTTGGGAACAGGGTTCCCGTCCAGCAAGGACATGAAATCGTCGTTTTTGAGGGGACTCATCTCAGACATGTTTATCGGCGTTACTCGTGGGTCCAATTTATAACCGTACAACCTCGAATTCATCGTCATTGATGTGATCGCTCCTATCGTTGGAACGCTCGGCGGATTTGTCCAGACGTCTTCCGTCTCGCACGCGATCCGCTCCGTTGGAACGATGTCTTTCGATGGCTCGCATCGCTTCGAGTCATGGGGAACCTCGGTTTTATTCGAAAATTCGAACAGATTCCAGAATCGACGGGACGAAGTCGCGCAATGCAGATTGCAGGAGGGCAGCTAAAATGATTCGAGATAAATGCCTTTCTCCGTGAGACACAACAATAACTGAGAGTTTTGTTTAACACGTTGTTCCGTATAAAAGAAGACGAAAAGTGATTGCATATATGAATATTATAATGGGGATGTTTGGTTAAGAATTTTAATTGAGAATTTAATGAATACAACAGGCTTTTTCAAGTATAAACTGAAAGGAACAAAGTTACTTTTGTTGGAATAGTTGTGAATTACTTTTGTAGATCTATGGAGACCCTTCGACGAGACGATAGGAAGATCTTGCAGCACGAAAGCCTTGAGTCCGTTCATCGTTCAATCCGATCGACGAGTCAATATTCCCAAATGAATTTTCATGGGTTTCAGATGATGTTACTTAAAATTTTGAAACGGTTGATTGTCATTTAAAGTGTATGCATCAGGATCGATCCTGATCTGACATTTTGAAATTTTGGGATGACTATTTGGAGAACAGTTGGGAATCAGACGAACAGCGGCGAATCGATTGTCGACATCGATTCTCGAATGCTTCTATTTCTGTGTTCACCGCGTGGTTGTCTGTGTTCACCGGTTGAAATATCAAACAGAATGAAAATAAAAACGTCCTTAACACAACATTCATTGTTCCCAATGTCTCCTTTCGTTTTCATGGTTAACGAATCTCTACAATAATTAACAAACACTTTGCAATAATCGAAAAACCTTTATTCAATTACTGTCTCCAGCATGTGCAAGATTTAATCTTTCATTCTAGTATCGAAATATGTCCCTCGAATAATTTAGAGAGCGAAAGTGACTTTGCGTTTCCGGTTCCTCGTGTTCCTCTTTCCGTTTCGTTTGTTCCTCGGGTAGAACGTCATCTCTTCAGTTGCATTTTCATTATCCTCCGGCGGAAGTCTTCCGCCATTATCCGAACGATTCGCGGCGGCGGCCGGTTGTGTCGCACCCCGAAGACCACCCTCGCTTCTTCCGGTTGCGGTCGGCTCACCCGGCTCAGCGTCCTCGTGTGATGGTCCCGCGGCATGAGAACTTCTACCCAGCAAGGCTCGCCTTTCGCTCCTGTCCACTGCTCGTAGATCGATCGAAGCGGTTCCCATATTCCCACCTCGCTGGTGCTGAACGACTTTCGCTGGTCCCGCTGAACAAAGTCATATCAACACGTTGAATGCCGCACGATTTCACAGAGAAAAATGCACGAAACGGAAGAAATACTATATTAACCCTTTGCACCCGAGAGGTGACTACCACTCACCACCTGATTTCATGCAGTGAAACTATAAAATTTGATATTTAATATTATACCTTGTATAACTGATCAATTTAAAAAATATTGAAATAAAATAGCTTTGTTCCTCAATAACGTGTAGTTCTCCTTCTAGTTAGTTTCACAAAATAACGTCTTTGTCTCATCAGAAAATGTGAAAATATTTCTAGTGAAAAATTTCCGAGTGCAAAGGGTTGAATTGTACTGTTATTAGTGCATGTTCATCTAGCCGAATGTCACCATATTAGGTAGCATTATTTATAATACAGAAATGTTGTCAAACCATCATCATCATTCAATTAATTGGACTTTGCATTCAATTAAGTCCCATGAGATACAACGTGTTAATCGTTAGATCGTGGATCTTTCGAAAGTTGCACAAAGCGTACACGATGTGAAAGAGATATGTAAAATATTCGAAGTGTGGTGATGTCCTTTTTTCGTACTAAACAACAATGTTTCAGTCGAGGAATCAGAGATCGATGAGTCAACGACTTGATTTCGTTCATGTCACCGTCTTCGCGAGTCCCTGGATCTTTCGAGGTATCACACCAATCACATCACGAGACATAAAATGAACGGTGAAATACTTTAATTTATCACATGGTTTTGATTCAAGGGAGACGAGGAATTTTCACGGGATGCTCGTGAATCGAGTTCCGAGAGACAAAGAACGATTCGATTCATCGCAGTGAAGTTACTGAAATCTGTGAAAATCCCTGAACATTCGACAAACAAAATATACCTAATCAACCATTCCCTGAGAAGTAACCAAAACGAGAAACTTGAATATCTCTCTTCTACAAATAAATTTACAGTTTCTTAAATAATCTGATACACTTATCGATAGAAGCGACTCCAAAAAATCCCAATAAATAAACGAAGAACACAAATATTTCCAATAAATAAGCAAAAAAAAAATATTTCCAATAAATAGGCAAAAAGAAAATATTTCCAATGAAAAAGCAAATTACATAAATATT